ACATCAAATGGGTGGCAGGCGTGTAGTTCCCAGTGCAGAGTCAGTGAGCTCTTGTGTGAGGTTCTGCCTCCTGGATGAGGTGGATTTGGAAGGCACAGTGGAAGCCATTCACTTGCCCAGGGCCTGCTGATCATTGCCTATTATAAGGGAAGTGACCAGGAGGCCCTTGGCAGGCCTGCTCTCTCCTGTGCCTCCTGTGTCTCCTGTGCCCAATGCCTACTCAGTGGTGAGTATATGCCGTGTTACAGCTGTCCATAGGAACGATGGATATAAACTCATTTATAACCACCACTCTGAGTACATCACCATGAAGATGCAAATGTGGTCCAGAGCACACCACCTATACTCCACCCCCTCCCTCCCTGAGGGGTAAAGCAGGAATTGAGACCCTAGGAGGAGCCTGTAGTGGACAGTTCTGTACGAGGCAAGCCTTGTCCCATGTGCTGTGAGGACACGGTGATGGACACCAGTTCATTCCTGCTTGCTGTTATCTGCTAGGTAGTGACGACCCTCCCCTGCCAATAGGATCTAGTCAGAGCCTTGTGGGCTGGCTCAGACCAGATTGTCAAGTAGGCTCAGGAACCCAAAGGGAGATGCTAGCTAGGAGCACAAGCCCATCAATTTCTCTCTTTGGGTCACTGATCCATGCTGGAGTTCCAGGAAATGCCTCTGGCTTTAGGAACCCTTTTCTGGGCAGACGGGATCCAGAACCTCATCCCCAAAATGCCCCCTGGTCACAGTTGGGACCTGGGTCTCGTTACAGTTCCAGATGAGGCTGCTTTGCTCTTAAGTGGCCTTCTCTGAACATCTTTTGTGGCTGAGGTGCTCTCACGCTCGCACACACGAGCTCTCTTTCTCTCCCTCACCCTCCCCCTCTCTCTCTGTGTGTGTGTGTGTGTGTGTGTGTGTGTGTGTGTGTGTAGGCAGAATGATATGCAGGGAGAACACTGAGAGAGGTATGTATGAAGCTATGTGTGATCCTTTATTTCAGGGGAGCACAGGATTATTGAGCATAGCCAAGTTGGGGTACAGACAGATAGGCAGGGTACTACCCTTCATCACTGTAAGTAGCTAACCCCCACACACACTCTCTTGGGTCCACAGCTAGCAGAGATCCATGGTGTGCCCCGAGGCCTGTATGACGGGCCTGTTCATGAAGTGATGTTACCAGCCAAGCCAGGGAGTGGCACACAGGCCCGTGCATCCTGTCCAGGCAAGATCTCAGTGCCACCCGTGCGCAACCTGCACCAGTCGGGGTTCAGCCTATCTGGTGAGTTGGGTCTGGGCATGGGGTAAGAGGCTCTTCTGGCAGGTCCAGCCTGTGCCGAGAGGGCCCTAAGCTCAGCTGGAGACTTGGACACAGGGCAGATCCCAGGGTGGGCCAATGTGGGCACTGTAGGGTAGGGGGCACTGACCTTGGTGAGGAGCAATGAGGTGTGCACCCCTGCTGTGGGAGCCCATTTTTGTCCTAGCATTTGCCCTTGGGTGCTGCTGAGTTAAGCCTGCACCTTGAAGCAAGCAAGCTGGGAGAGGACATGTCAGCCCAGGACTAAACACAGAATGCCCAGCATTCATGGGAAGAGAGGTGTCACCTCTGTAGGGACCCCAAGTTATTATACAGCTCCTCCAGCCCCAGCCCCACTAGCTCCAGATTCACTGGTCAAGTGTGAGGCATGGGTCTGAGCTGTGTCCTTAGCACTTGGAGACACACTAGAGTGTACCTGTCATGTTGACCAACAGAGTTGGCTTTTACTAGGTGAGGGGCTTCTCTGTCCCCCCTCTTGCCTACCAAGGCAGACCCTGTCCATCACTTTCCCCACCTGTGAGTGGGGGCTACATCACCATATTACCTTACTTCTGTCATCCTGCTTGGGAGGCCATAACAGTTCCTGGTCACTTGGTGATTTAGGATAAGGGGGAGTCCTTCAGAATGCAAGATCATCTTGGAGATGGGGCAAGTGCCTGCCACCACAAAGATCCACACTAGGGACCAAGCAGGGCAGGCTTTCTGGAGAGCTAGCCTTTGCCTTCCTGTCCTCACAGACTGTCGAGCTCCACTGGCCATTTCCATTGCCTTAGGGATGAGCAGGCTTCCTGGCCACCTGCCCTGTCAGGCATGGCTTTGGGGAGAAAACCAACCCTGTATACACATTGCATGAAGTTGGGTAGGTAGGCTCTGTGGTCCTGGTTTGATGGGTGCAGCCAGCCATGTCTAATTTCCCTTTTGGATGGAAGGAGAGTCATACCACCCCCTTCAACCTCCTTATCACACTTGCTTGCCCTTTCTTCAGGCTCTCAGGGTGACGATCACATTGCCAGACGTACAGCACAGAAGATCATGGCACCCCCCGGAGGACGCTCCAACATCACTTCTCTTTCCTAGACTTGGGGTCTGGCAAGCTGGTGCTGTTCCCACTGGCAGGGTGTGGGGACTACTCACTTCAGTTAGCCCCTTACTTTGTAGATCGTTATTGTGAAAGGTGCTTGGCCTTGCCCTCCCCCTCCCCCCAAGCTCTCTCTTGGGAGTCCCAGCCCCCACTCTGAGGTACCCCCTCCAGAGGGATGAATCCAGAGAGAGTTCACTGCCAGAGAGAGAGGATTAGGCCTGGTAGTGAGCAGGTGCCTCTTGCCCCTCTGACCTTACCATGAAGGCCCTCCAGGAGAGCTCTTGGACTTCAGCCTGTGAGCTTTCCAGGGTCTGGGTGTAGGCAGGGTGGGCGTTTGCTGCTGCCACCCCCTAAGAAATCACTGCCCTGTGGAAGCCCCCAAGCTTCCACCAGTTCCGTGTTGCTAAGATGCAGCTACCCCTTGGGGGCTTTGTCCCCCTGGCTGCCCTGTGTAGGGAGGAGAGCAGGTGAGCGGAGCCTCCACCTTGTGGAGGTTGGTGACTTCAGGGATCCACCAGTTACTCAGTGCAGGGGAGCTCCCTCCCACATAGACACTTCCAAGGACCAAACTTGAGCTCCTATAGCAGCCCCCTCTAGGGAGTTTGATGATCCCTTAGCTAAGACACTTTCCTTTTCCTACAAAGTCTGTTTCCATAGGTTTATTAGAGTAGCGGTTTTGTACTGTGAGGAAACCATAGCCAGGGATCTGCATGCTGCTGTACCAGATGCCGGCCACCGGCTGAGCCTGACGGGAGTCAGGTCAATAAAAAAGTCTGGGTTAGAAGCTGCCTGTGTGTCGCCAGCCAAACCTCCCTCCCTCACAAGCATCTGCACAGGGACCAGAGATCCCCTGCCACTACTGTCACCTCTGCCCAGATGCCTGCTACCTAGCCGTGTGGTCTCTGCCTGCTCTGGGCCATGGGCATGGCTGGACCTGAATGGTGGAGAGGGTTCTTCCTCTTAGGGTATTTGGCTGTACCTCACAGCCAGATGGTCAGCAGGAGGACTCCCAGGCTCTGACTGGCCAGGCTCAAACCACCCCAGCTGGAGTGAGGCAGTAAATGGAAGACTGTGAAGCATGCCCTGCAGGTGTGGTGTGCTATAGGGGGACAGCCCAGGAGACCAGCGCAGCTGCTCATAGCCAGGCCCCAGCCCTGGAAGGAAAGCAGCTAGGCAGTTCCTGTGAGTGCCTTCCTACTATCCAAAATCCTGGGCTAGCCTACTGGCCTTACATCTTCTCATGGTGGCAGTCTTAGTTCTTTATCCCAGGCAAAGGATCCCCAAACTGCCTGCCCATTCTCCCAACATCTATTCTCATCAGCAGGAGCATTTCCATGGGAACCGATGTACTGTCTGCATCTAGGATCTCCATCATTTCTTTGGTCCTAGCAGCAACTTTGTTGAAGGCCCAACCTGGCAGTCCTGCCACTTTTTGGGTGTGTGTGGGGTCAGGAGACATCTTCTGGGCCACATATACATAGTCAGTAAGGCTTCAGACTGGATTTCATTTTGTTTTGGAGACACAGTCTTATGATGGAGCCTTGACTGGTCTGGATGGAGCTTACTGTGTAGGCCCAGCTGACCTTGAACTCAAGAGATCCACCTGCCTCCCAAGTGCTGGTATTAAAGGTGCACTACCATATCCAGCAAAGCCTTAGGTTTGAATCCTGGGCTTTGGCTGGCTTGTGTGCTCTATGCCAGTGCCTTTCTACTTTCCGCAGCAAGGAGGGGGGTGTTGAAGGGACGGAGGATGTAATCACATCCCTGTCAGAATCATAAAGGACAGTGTGTTCTCATCTCACCCACCCATTGCACGTTTATACCAAACCCCAGAATTACCCCCTGAGGTACCCCTGACCTGGCTAGGTTTTCACTCAGAACATGGCTACCTGAAGGGGTTATAAGAAGTGGCAGTGCCTTGGTGCACCTTGCTGTACAGCTTAGGCGTGGGCCTCACTGGGAGCCCTGTGGTTGGTTAGTCAGTCCCACTGAGGGGCGGTGCAGGCAGGGGTTGGAGCTGCCTGCTCTGTCTTGGGGCTTCAGCTCTGTTCCCAGCACAGCCAGTTCTTCGGATACTGTGATCACTTGATGACTCCATAGTCTGGCCAGGCAGGAGGGCAGCATTCACTTGGTTGACTAGAACCACAGACCCAGACCCAGATACTTTGTAAGGTTAACCAGGGTGGCTTTAGTCCTGGAAGGGCACCGAATGTGACAAGGGTTCTCCCAAGTGAACCCACATATGCCTGTGGAGCCCAGGGCTAGAGGGGCAGAATCATCCTCAGGTGAGTTGTCCCTCTGACCACAGAGCCCTGGGGCAATGAGGGGCAGATATCATATTCTTTGGCTATGTTCCTCCTGCCAGCCCTGCAAGAGCCATGCAGTCTGGGAGCTAGCCTGAGGCTTCTGGGCTTTTGACAATTTTCACTTTGTTTGGATCTTGGAATTGCAGCTCAGTTCTTATCTATAAATGCTGGGATAGCCACCACAATGCCACGGTCCTGTGGCACCCACTACCCAGCTGCCCCAGTCCAATAGACCGTTTCCATGGAACACTGCAGACATGGATGCCCTCACTCCACAGGCATATAAAACACACAGAGCACACGGCACAGCAGTTCTTAGACTGTAATTCTCAGAGGTGAAAACTATACACGAGTCGCAGAAATTGCCAGAGCAGTGTGTGTCACTAGAAAACGCTCTTTGCCCTCCCTCCCACTCCCTCCCCCAACCCTTACCCTCAGTAACATATCAGAATCGGAAAGGCCTGTTCCCAGCCCCACGGCCTTGAGCAGCAAGCTCAAGGACATTCTGGCTAGGCCACAGCAAAGACTGGCCACAAGGCTATGTACAGCCAATTTCAAAAGGGTCCAGAAAGCCAAGGGCTCCTGCTCCACTGTGCCACTCTGGCCACCTGTAATCTGCCAGCCTACAGTCAGAGGGGCCAGCCAGCGTGGTGACTGCATGACTCCCTCCATGTTGCAAGTAACCACGGTCTAGGTACCAAGGGCCCTCTTTGCCCAGCCACCACTCTCTCGACGGGCATCCATGGCTCCCAGCACCTTCACCATACTGACAGCCTCACGGGCAGGCTGCGCGGTCAGGCCTTTGCCCCACTGCTGCCCTCTTCTGGCCGTTCTGAGTCTTCAAAGCAGCCTGAGAGAGAACTGCCCTCGGACCAGTCTGGATGGCCTAGCTGCTCCCAGAAGAGGGGCAGATGGAGCCACACATGGGCAGGGCTGTGGGCTCTGCCTCACTGTCTGCAGTGGAATCTGTCATATCCGAAGTCTCAGGGCCTGGAAGAGGCTCGCTCATGAGTTCCTGGCTCCTCTTCAACCTGGAGCAGGGCAGGGAGGACGCACAAACACACACACACAAGTGGATCTATGTAGATCACCAAATGTCACAGCCTCACTCGCAGCCCCAGGACCCACTGATGTAGACTATATGACTTTGTGCTAGAACACATGGGGTGTGTCCTTCAGGGGTGTGATAGGGGATACCAAGAATATCTCTTGTTGGAAGCCCTGTTTTAGTACCAGCATACTGGGAACACAGGGAGCCAGAAAACAGACATGGATGCTGAGAACACTACAGACATGGGAGGCCCAGCCCTAAACTGCTGGCCACAGAGCTATGAGGCTGGGAGCCACAGGCTCTGCATCTCAGCTCATGCAGAAAAGGAGGGCACTCTAGCCCAGGGCAGAGCTGTTCCAGTGGGCAGTGTTGGGACAGCTTTTCAAAGAGTATGGCCATGCCCATGATTCATCCTGTGCTCTAACCAGAGGATGGGTCCAGTGTTTCCAACCAGTCCCACACTGCTCTGTGCATCCTCCCCAGCCTAGTACCAAGCCTCTGGGAACACCTCCGTGTTTCTCAGGCAGGGGGCAGGTTGACCCTTTCCTTAGGCACCTTATACAAGGCTATCTCCACTGTTAGCTCTCTGTAACCTGTACCCTTTCTGTCCCACTTGTTCTAGACACTAAGGAAAGCTTTTCTGAGTGAGTGACCAAGTGGCAGGTGTGACTTCAGGGGCTACCAGGAGGTGATAATTCTGGTCTGAGCCAAGTGTGTGCCTGAGATTCCCAACCCTTGGATCTAAGTCCACCTAGAAGGTTCCCAGGGAGCCCCTTCAGGAGCCTGAGCTGAGGCCACTCAACTCTACCTTCTATATCCGCTGTTGTCCTTCCCAGAGAGCATGGGCCAGGCCTCACAAGCCACGTGGCCTCTGGGACATCCGTGCCGTGTAGCCCCTGAGCCCTCTATGGTCTCTTACATACTCACTTTTCTCTGTTAAAAATCACAAAGTCTTGCTGGATGGCATCCAGACAGTCTTGCAGGTAGTCATTCTCCTGTGGACAGAAAGACCATCCAGTGGTTTGTGCTAGACACTGTGGGCAGTCCTCAAGCACTGCTCCAATCGCCCACTCCTGAGCTCTGAGAAGGAAATGCCTGGCTCCCAAGAAGCTCTGCTCTTCAGAAGTCTATCTCCAACAGCTGAGAGCAGACACACTAAAGACCAGAGAGGGGAGGAGGTCATGACATGGGAAAGACCAGTGAACCTGTGTGTGGCCCCGGCCCATGTCTCTTCCTAGAGAATCTGGTAGTGATGCTGAAGACACATTGCTTCCTCAGTAGCTGCCTCCACTTACCTGTTTCCCTCAGAACATAGTTGTGTCTCCCAGCAGCATGGCCAGGCTCAGAGGTGAGGGGCCCTCTTGGGAGCTACAAGGCTCAACTAATGGGCACCAGTAAGAACAGGACAACAGCTTGGGAGTGGGTTTTGGGGCTGTGGATGGGCTGTAAGTCAGAACATGAGGCTAAAGAGGGGTGTCTGCAAAAGACCCCCCCCCCCCCGCTTGCTTGGAATCAGTTTCCTGGTGTGAGCCCCTGGGCTGGGTTTCAAAACACTACAGGACAGCTTTTGGAGACTTGGTTATGGAGTTCAAGGGAAGATTCCAGATTATTCTTAGAAGGATGCTGAGAAGTAAAAACACATGCACAGGCAGCCCGCAGATCCAAGGCCAAAGGACCTACACTCTGGCCTGTTCTCCTCCCACACCGTGGTAAGCAATGAGCTGGGGATTCTGAGATGGGAGTGACTGCTGGAACTCAGCCCCTTGTGACCATGGTGGCAATAGAACATCCAAGAACCTGAAGCCCAGGACAGGGAGGGGGGAGAGCACTGGTTCAGAAGGGGGAAGGGTCTGGGATAATATCCAGCAGAGCCGGGGGCTCCCTGTGCTTGGGAGGTAGAGGCAAGGGAACAGGACAGGCTGGCTAGCTAGACTGGGCTGCATCTGGTGGTCAGTGAGGTCAGAGTTAGATAGGGAAAGGTCATCAGCTGCCTGGGGGAGGAGACACGTTACTTTCTTGCTTTCCAAAGCCAATATCAGCCCTACAATCTATCACTTGGGAGGGGCTAAGTCCCCTAAGAGGAAGGACAGCTAGTTCACAGCAAATGTATGCTACGGGGACCAGGTGCCTGCAGCTGCCTCCACAAAAGGCATGCCCATTGCTTAGAAGTCTGTCGAGCTAACACTCAGGCCCCTCTCACAGGGCCTAGTGGCCACAGACCCACCCTTTCCCTGGATGCTGAAGGCAAGACCCTGGTAAGGCTTGTGGCATCAGTCAGTGCTGGCTTTCCAGTCAACTCCTTGACTTGTGGGTAGCAGTTGTTATGGATGAGGGAGGGGAGGGAGAAGAAGATGTGGGTTAGGAGTAAAGGGTAAGTTATGCATATCAGCACATTTTAGAGACCGAGTGTGTAGTATGCTAACAGTAGTTAACAACACTGCATTGTATACTTGAGATTCCGAAAAGTATAGATTTTCTTCAGTCTTCTCCCCTCGTGCATACAATAATGATGTGGAGATAATGGGTACGTTACTTGGCTTTACTTCGATGATTATGTATAATTGTTTTTCTTGTAATAACGTAACAGTCTGTACACCTTACGTGTCTATAGATTTCAGGCCAATGATTCAGACTAAAGCTGTTTTTAAAATAGCTGTTATAGGGAGCTTGACCTCAGTAGATAAAACACTTGCCATGCAAACATGAGTACTAGAATTCTGGTTCTCAGCAGCCACATAAAAAGGCAGGTAGGCATGGTAGCCCTCCTGTAATCCCTATGCTTGGGAGGTAGAGGCAAGGGAACAGGACAGGCTGGCTAGCTAGACTGGGCTGCATCACGGAACTCTGGGTACATCAAGAGATCATGGCTCAGTAAATCAAGTCAAGAGACTGAAGAAGGCACAGGACATCAAATTCTGCCCCTTCGATGCATACGTATGCCCACGTACGGGCACACATGTGTGCCCTCCCAAGAACATACACATTAAAAGGCAGATGCTGTAATAAACAAGATCTGTACTCCATCCCTAGACCAACCAGACTACACAGTCACCGGGAATAGCACCCAGGCTGGAGTGACCAAAAAGAGCCACAGTCAGAAGTGTTTTATCTTCACCTCTGTCTTTCTACTACGGTGTCTCATAATCTTTCCACTCTACTCAAAAGTCATTCTGCAAGAAGCAAGGTCTTCTGGGATCAACCTTCTAAAGTCGAGAATTTGAGCATCTATACCTCACACCTCTTCCTACTGGGAAAATAGCACAGACCCTGGCCTGTTTCTTCACCTTTCAAAGGCAACTGGTTTTCCTAACTCCTGCACAATGCCCTCCGGAACCCATCTTGACACCTTGTCAAGGGTAGGAACATGAACTAATTCATTCTCCCTCTCCCCCTCCCCTCCTCCTCCTCCTCTCTGTGTATCTCTGTCTCTCTCTGTGTGTCTCTGTGAATCTCTCTGTGTATCTCTCTGTCTCTCTCTGTGTCTCTGTGACTCTCTCTGTGTATCTCTCTGTCTCTCTGTGTGTCTGTGAATCTCTCTGTCTCTCTCTCTGTCTGTCTCTGTCTCTCTGTCTCTGTCTCTCTCTCTCTCTCTCTCTCTCTCTGTGTGTGTGTGTGTGTGTGTGTGTGTGTGTGTGATCATGATTGCATGATTCTGTCAGCTGCTCTGTCTCCCATTTGGGGGTCTCCTGTCCCTGAATCTACAGCAGGTACAGACTAATTAGTACTGAAGGGTTAAAGGACTCTGGGGATCTCTGGGGATCTCCAGGTCTCTGCAGCTGTCTCCTTTGCAGGAGGTATCACACTCCCAGCATTTTGCCCCACATCTGGGGCCACCCTGAGAGGGGCCTGCATTCCAGCAGAGGCACTGACTTTGATCACCAAGAAGAGGCTAGGCTGTGTTTCTCTGTGTACTCTCTGGCCTCATTCTGATGATAAGCAGACAGATACAAAATTTTAGTCTGAGAAGGTAAAGACAGTCATAGGCTCAGAACCCTCGGGGATGAGGATTTGAATCATGGCTTGAGACAGGATTCATCCGACAAAAAGCTGAGACTGGCAGAGGTGTGTTGTGAGGGTGGGAAGGAGCCACATTGGCCCTGGGGTGGTGGCTCGTGGCCCTGACCTTGTGAGCAGCACCACAGCAGGGGCTGTGATCTATCCACTAACCTCACCCTCAACACATTCCTAGAAGACAAGTCTCCAGTGGCCTGAGGAGCCGCTGCAGAAGCATCTAGGGAAAGTGGCTCTGAGTGGGATGAGAGAGACTGCCATGGCCTCCGAGTGTTCCATGAGCCTCTTTCCCACAGACACTCCTCTGGCATATTCCAGGCGTTTTCCCCAGGAGGACCCCTGTGATGTCTTCCTGTTTGGTTCTATGAACCTTGGGATGCTGGACATCCACATTCAGCTCTTCTCATTTATGGCAGGCTGTTGGAGCACTTGCCAATACATATGAGGACACCAAAAAGGTGTCATTCCTAGGTCAGGCCCAGGAGCACAGCTTGGCTCCTTTGGAGCTGGTCATCTCTGCAGCAGTCTGCACCCTCGCTGCCTCAGGCTGAGTCCACCCCTCTATGATTGTTCTTAGTCACACTTCCTTGGTGGTTCATTTGCACGTGAACCCTCTGGTCCAGAAGTTGTTATCTGAGCCCAAATAAAAGCTCAGACTCAGCACCAGACTCCAGACATCACTCCTGTTAACAAAGCACCTGGGAAATGGAGACCAGGTCCAGCCCCTAACTCTATGGCAGACAGATGTGTTAGGGAGCGCGGTTACTATTCCTAAACTACTCAGAATCCATTAGAAATGCAAGAGACCTAGGACAGGGCAATCATTTCGAAAGAAAAGAACAACTTGGGAAGAGTCCCAATTCCTGGTTTCAGCACTGCTTCAAAGTGACAGTAACCAAGACGGCATCTGCTAGACAAGGACAGATCAATGGGGCAGGAGTTAATCCATAAATAAACCCTGCTATTTATGGTCAAATTGATTTGTGAAAATGGTGCCAAGACGTTCAGTGAGGGAAGAATAGCCCTCTCAGCACATTTCTGCCAACATCAGATATCCGCATACAAAAGAATGACGGTGGACCGTCCCCTCACACCACACATCAGAATCAGCTAAACATGGACATGAGTACAAGCCCTGGAGCTACAGAGCACACAGGCAAAATCCTCACGACTGTGGGTTTGCAGATTCTCTCCAACAGGACAAACACAAGCAATGGATGCTCCCGGCAGTTCGCATGAAAGACTCCAGCTGTAGATGACACACCCACAAAGACAAGAAGACAGTCTGGCAAGAGAGGCAAGCACGTGACAGTCACACATCTGATGAGCACTTGCACCCAATGTGTAAAGAAATAACTCTTAAAATAAAACCACACAGATTTCTGTGTCGGGCTCTGCTCTGTGAATGGCTCCCATTCTTTCAACCAGAGAAAAAGCTGCTGCACTGAAGATCTTGGAGGACCACAGGAGCCTCCAAATTTACAGAAGACAACAGAGTCCCAAAGGAAAGGGCTTCCCTGGAGTTGAGGTCAGTGGATCAAGAACTGCAGGAGCCCTCATCCCAAGGCTAGATTCCTGGGGCACCACTCACAGGGTCCCATTTCTTTGTTGGCTTCATTCCAGGAAGCCAACAAATACTGATGGAGAACCCAGAGAGGTTCCCACTCAAGGCCAGAAGAGCAGGAAAGAACAACTAGAGAAATGCACCCAGAGTCTCCCATGCAGAAGTGGAACCCACTGTCCAAGGGGAAATCCACTATACTGGGGAAGAGATCTGAGAACACACACCCTTCACTGGCTACCTCACCCGACGGGAGGGAAAGAGCTGGGAAATGTGGGTGAGAGTTCATACAGACTACAGATTCTCCCCACCTGACTTCTGCACTAAGCGATTGGCAGGTGCAAGTCCAAGGTGAATGACAGGGCTCGGCCTGTGGTGAACAATGCTCACGGGAAGGGGCTTCCCCTTATGGTTGTGTTCTCCCACCTGGATGATGTGGTGTTGTCTGAAGGTAAGCTTTAATTGGCTAAAGGCACATTGGAAAATCTACTACAGCCACTGGAAATATTTTTACATTGATTCATGTGTATGCATGAGGAATACATGTGTATGCATGAGGAAATACATGCAACATGGTGAGCCACGTATGGAGGTCAGAGGACAACCATCGGAATGCGGTCCTCTCTCTCCACTGTGTGGGTTTCAGGAACCAAACTCAGGTCCTAGGGCTTGGCAGCAAGCACCTTTACCCACTGAACCATCTTGCCAGCCCTCCTAAAACTACCAAAGAAAGATGTTTAATTGGTGAACTAAGGGAAGAGATGGGGGGGGAGGGGGTCGTGTAAAGCACTTGATGCAAACCCGAGGAGGAAAAGCTGGATAGGAAAGAAAAAAACATGGTAAGTGGACTGTCGACAAACAGAGTAGATAGGAATCTGACCGTGTCATTGTCAGTGGCCCAAACACATCAGCTAAAGACAGATATGGGCATAGCAGACTGTGAAAGATAATCCAGCTTTAAAATGACAGAAAGTGGCAGTTCTCCAATAAGACAGAAGGTTTTCATTAGTCAGTGAAATGCAAATAAAAAACAGCTGTGGTAACTGGGGTGTAGCTCAGTTGATAGAGCACCCAGCATGAATGGGGCATTGTGGGGCATGGTGAAACAGACGCCCTAATCCTAGCATTTGGGTGGTAAAAGTAAGAGATCAGAAATTCAAGGTCATTCTTGGCTATAAAGTGGGTTCAAGACCAGCCTGGGCTATATGAGATCCGGTTTCAGAAAACAAATAAAAAACCAACAAAACATGCAAAGAAATAAGATATCATACCAAACCAAAGCTAAACCAAAACAACAACAAAAAGTAAAAGCAAACAAAAACCTCACTGTCTCAGACTCAGTGTAGTGATTACAATTTAAGATTCGAACTGAACATTAACAAGAACAGATATGGATGTAAAGTCTTAGAACTGTCATACGTGGCCTACGGGAGTATAAAATGGCACAGCCGTGGAGCATACCTGAGCGTGAACTGAGGCATTTAGGTGTAACATAAGCCAGATGTCATGCTAAGGTCTCTCCCAAGAAAAAAAACAAGAGCACGTCCCCAAGAGGACCTACACAGGGATATTCATTCACACTAGAGTTATAATGATTCAAAAGCAGGAGTGGCCCAAATTCCAGCCCAGTGACAAATGGCTGATATATTCATGAATAAAATACTACATAGGAAGGAGATGCTTTTCACAATTAGAACAAAGGAGGTGCTGGCCTTTGGGACAGCATGGCTGAATCTACATCGTGCCAAGTGCAAGAAGCCTGTAGAACCACACAGCATGATTCATCCTGGATGAAATGTCAGGGCAGAGTAGGGGTGACGGGGAGGCTGGAGAAGAGCAGAGCAGCGGATAAGAAGGGGCCATGAGAAAGCTCTCCACTTAGACTGTGGTGGTGGGTGTGCTGGAAGTCAACTATGATGCACCTCGTGTGTGTGTGAACTGTATGTTATACAATTGTAAGAAAACCAAGGTGTGCATTAAAGTCCCCAGTCTTCAGCTTCTCAATTCTCCATAAGAACATTGGAGGTTTTCTCAGTGTTGGCCAATGTTCAGAATACTTCCCACCTCCAACTACAGCTCCCGCCAACTGCTGCAGAATGGAGCTGAGTTCCTCCCAGTGCAGGTGTCAACCCAGGCTGGTTCCCATTCACAGCCTCCAGAAGTCAGCACGGCAGTTAGCCAGTATGCTCTCCACGTCTGGATTCTCACACAAGGTACCCACGCCCACACAAAGCCAGTTTCTATTCCCCAAAGCCCTGGTTCTAGATGCCCCAGGAAGAATCTCTCTACTCTTGGCACCTGACCCAGGAGCTGTCGAGTTAAAAACCAACCCACAGAAAACAGAGGCAGCTGGAGGAGAGAGAGAGAGAGAGAGAGAGAGAGAGAGAGAGAGAGAGAGAG